AGCGAGGCATGAAAGTATGGCATGTAAAATACAACTGCTTCTGATTTTATTAAATCCTGTTATGGTTGAAGGAGAGCCATGTGACTTACTTAAACATTAAAATAATGGATTTAGTTTCCTCTGTAACCACTGTAGATACTACTTTGAAGAAAAAAGGTTTAGGATCGTTGAATTGCCATATGATGTTCCACCTAGAAGGAATTAAGGATTGAGACTTCTAGTATCATTAGAAATGCAAAATATAACTTAATTTTACACTTATTGATGGATTTCACTTCTGTGCCTTAATATCAGTAAGATTTCAGGGCATCAAATAACAGCTTTAGTGCACCAAATGCAGAAAATACAGGATTCACTTGTTTTCTGACTTATGTCTGAACAGCACTAAACAAAGGGTTTCTAAGATGAGCCTCATATGGTCTGTACCACTTTCCCTGTAACTATTACATGAAACAAATAAGCTGAAACAATGATTATTTTTGGATTTGTTTTTCTAAAACAGTAAAACTTTTTTTCAGCCTAAAGAAGAACTACGACACACACTAATAGATACTATGAAAAATAATGAAAGCCTTTTTAAGTCTGAGAATGGTAAGTTTGAGACCTCTATTTTAGTTAAATGTGTGACTTAACAGGCAACACAAGCTGTGTACAGAAGACAAACTATTTGTGTTGATATTAAGATTTATTTCATAGAAAATTTTCTGTGATAATTTTGTACTCAATTGTCTTTGAAAACAATCTTGACTAAACAAATACTTTTCAATAGTGGGCATGTTAGAATGATTGGAGATGCTCTTGTATTCAAACTTTCTACTTAAACTTTATCAAAGCTATTTCAGCCTGATCAATGCCCCTTTGACACAAACTCCTTCACTACCAGAAGCATGGTTGTGTTTTGGCAGAGCGTCAATTAAAGGTTCTAAATATTTTAATTTTGGAAGTAAAGTAGCTATAAATATTCCCCTTTAATATAACATAACCTGACAAGTATTTGAACCCAGAAACTGAAATATTTGTTGAGAGCTGCTGCACTTGGAAAGGAACAAAATGACTTCTCAGGACGTGTACTTAATCTGAGTTTTCAGGTTGCAGGTTCTCAAAGGTGACTAAAATTATTAGTAACTTAAATTGTTGTGGCTCAGACTCAACGCTTACTTAACTTTCATTCTCATGTAAAGCTCCAAGATTTCAGGGATCTCTCTAAAACATTCTCCTTAGTCGTAACTAATCACAGCTGTACTTTCTTCTGTATTTTACTTTTAGGGGAAACTGTGATAGAAGCTCATTTAAGTGAGTTAATGGAAGTCAGCAAGGAACCAAATTCATCTGTAGAGCCAGTTCAGGAAACCCTCAAGGATTTCTGTTCTGATGATGTCCAAAAAGCAGAGAGTGATAACAAGAAGACAGAGGCAAACAGCGAAGCTATCCAGAAAGAAGAAACTGATTTAGACTTAAAACCAAGGGAAGAGATCTTACCAAAAAAGAACAAAAAGCACAAGGCTAAAGAACGTACAAAAAAGAAAGGAAAATGTGAAACAGAACAGCATGAGGATGGGACAAAAGATATAGCTCAAGCAGTTAATTCTCCTGAGAAGGGGAATGACAAATCTTGTTCAATGAAATACAATCCTCCTACCACACCATACTTGGAAAGGTAAGATTACTTCAGGTAACTATGGAAAGTCTGCAGTGTCTGGAGAAACAATAATGTTTGTGTCCTTTTGGAACAGGGAGGCATTGCATTTGTGAATACCTAGTTAAAAGCTCTCAAGAACTTTTATTTTTAGGATTGCTTCCTCTTCCTTCAGAAGGAAGTATTTTAAAATAAATTTCTCTATTTACTCAAACTGTTTTGCTTTGTGAATGCCTCACTACAGAGTAACCAGACTTTTGTGGCAGAGACATAAATTCCATGTTTGGGATGCCCTCCCACAGCCTACATCACAGTAGCAGTTCTACACTAAGCTAGGTAAAGAGAAAGTAGGTGTCAACAGTCCTCTCCTTTTCAAATGCAGATGTGATTGTATGTCATACAACATAGAAATACTGAACAAGATGTAACTGTCCTGAAGTGGTTATCTTGAGGCAAAAACCTGGGTAGTAACCTCAGTATAAACCAGATAATATTGACTTTTTTTTTTTTTTACCACAAAGTTTCTTCTAAGATAGCAGACTTAGGAAAGTTGTGCTCAGCTTTGACATCTGATGAAGCTGGAGACCTGGCAGCTGTCCACTATCCCTCATAGCAGGAAGACCAATTTGCCCCTGATGGAATAGGGAAGGATCTTCCTTTGGGAACTGTTTTCAGGAGGTTCTCTGGGTTAAAATATTTTGCCAAAGAAAAGTTGCATAGCTGATTCTAACTGTATGAATGGGAAAGTGCCTGTTTCCTTTGATTGTGGGAATGGGAAAGAATTGAACATGAATCATGACTTGCTGTTTCTGCCAGATGCTAGAAAGGTAACTTGTATGACGGTGTGCCTATGTTTAGTGATTTTTTTTTTTGATTTTTTTTTTTTCTTTCTCAAAGAGTGAAGATGTCTCATGAGGCAAATTACTCCAGTGGTAAAGATCTGAAAATTGTAACCCCTTTGCGATATTCTCAACGCATTCGAGACAAAATGTGCAAGCTGCCTGATACTGGCAAAGATCAAGATCCATGTGTATTTTCACTTGAACAGCTGGAAGAATTGGAATCAAAAGCCACTGTATTTATCCACAAACAGAGCAATGCCTTCCAAGAAACAAATGCTGAAATAGAAGAGTAAAAACTAGTGTTACTGTTATATAGGGGTTAAAGATTTGATTTTAAGGAGAGTTGAATGGGACTTGTTTTTAGCAGCTTTGAGAGAGGATCTATCTAAGACTCATGTGAATGGCTTAAGGTGAAATTTGACTGCCTGAGTCACTAAATAAACTTTTAAAGTTTCTGCCTTTTCAAAATTGTAATAAATCTGCTCTGGTTTAGTACTAGATTGATGTCTGTGTTTAACTATGTTTCATTAAATATCAAACTAAGGACTAGGTGTAAAGCTTCATGTTGTAGTATATTGCTAATACCTACTCTTCTTGCAATTGCAGAACTCTAAGGAATTCCTAGGAACCTTTCAATTTAAGAAAATAAACAGTAATGTAGGCATTCTAATAGGTCAATGTCTACTACATCGTCTAGTTTTGAAAACTGAAGCCAGCTTGTAAGGTGTAGGCTAAATTTAAACTTTTATTGAGTTTTAGAGGTGTTTCAACAAAACATTTTAATCTCTTTAGTTACTGACATTGTTCATTATCAAGTAATCTTAGATGAGGTCTGACACACTACTTACGTGACTGTTTTAATGTTGGTTTGCATTAGTCTCTAATACAGTAGACATTAAACTTATCAACTGAGTTGCTTTTGTTCTTTATTTATAGGCTATATGCTGTAAACTATGTAGTCTGTTCTTGAAGGTGAAGTGTCAAAGCAGAATACTGATATTTTCCACACTCAATTTTCCACACTCATCACACGCAGTGTGATGAGTATTCGTCATGCTCCGAGGGACAGCCCTCTCTGCCGCTGGCTCCGCCTCAGAGGCGCGGGTTGGGCATTCCCTCCCTGGCAGCTCCGTTCTCCTTCCCATCCTCCGCCCCCATCCCGGCGCGGGGAGGTTGTGGAGCAAGCTCTGGGCTTGTGCCAGGGCCTGTGCTCGGGCCTCCGCCCGGCGGGATTGCGGCCCGCCGAGGTGAGTACCCGGCGGGCCTGAGGGGCTGGGGGCGGGTTGGGGCTGCTCCTCCTCAGGCTAGAGGAGCTGTAGAAACAAGCCCCGAGATGCTTTTCAAAAACAGCTCATCAGCCCGTTAAAACACAGCGTGTGCACAGTGTATACATAAAGGGATGCTTGGAACGTGGATAACCAACTTAAAAACACCAACGTTTTGGGAAAAAAGGTCACTGCTGTGTGTGAAATGCTTGAGAAGCATTTTTAGCAGAAAATGGGAACGCGGGAGTTTTGAGCAGTTGTGGGAGCTCTCTGGTGGTGTGGGATTAAGCTCCATAGCCATGTCCTCTCCCGAACGAGAGGACATGGCCTCAAACTGTGTCAGGGGAGGTTTGGGTTGAACAGCAAGAGGAATTTCTTCATGGAAAGGGTTGTTTAAGGTTGAACAAGTTGCACAGGGAGGTGGTGGAGTCACCATTTCTGGAGGTGCTTAAGAAATGACTACATGTGGCACTTCAGTGCCATGGTCTGGTTGACAAGGTGGTCATCAGTCTTAAGGTTGGACTTGGTTATCTCAGAGGTCTTTTCCAGCCTCAGTGATTCTGTGATACAGCTTAAATGCAGTGATAGGACAACTGGGAACAACTCAGAACTGAACCAGGGGGAGCTTTACACTGGATGCTAGGGAACATTTCTTTGCTGAGAGGGTGGCCAAACACTGGAACAGACTTCTTAGAGAGGTGGTCAGTGCCCCAAGCCTGTCAGTGTTTAAAAGGCATTTGCACCATCCCCTTACCAATGTGATTTAACTTTTGGTCACCCCTGAAGTGGTAAGGCAGTTGGACTAGGTGACCATTGCAGGTCCCTTCTAACTAAAATACTCTGGATCTTCCAGTTGTTGGAGTCGATGTGTAGTAACTTTTACCAGTTTGATCCTGCTTATAGTGAGAATTGTCACCGGAAGCTTGAAGCTTGTTATGTTATTGTGCCTGTGAGTTTTCTTTAGTGTTATGAAACCACCTGCAGGAGCGCAGGTAACAAAAAGAAGATGCAACGTTGTAGGTTTGCAATTTACATTTTCAAAGAGCTTTAGCGTTTGAAATTAAAAAATGCAGCAATAATGCTGTATCAAGCTTTGAGTTTTACTTTCTGGAGGCCTCATTTTCAGTGAAATCATGTAGCAGTGCGTAGAAGTATTATGGTAATGCTGGAAAGTTATAGGTACCCATGTTCATCAGTCATTCTTGTTATTTTGCGGATTTTTTTGAAGAGAAGTGTAATATAAAAATTACACTATAAAAAATGGAAGAATACAAAGTGTTGAAAGTACTAGGAGAGGGATCCTTTGGCAGAGTTCTCCTAGTTCATCATGGAATCAGTGACCAGAAGTATGCGATGAAGGAAATAAGACTTCCCATGGTAAGTGTGACACATACGCCACCTCACCCACTGCTTAAAAAAAGTAAAATTTTAAAAAAATCATAATTGAGGATGTGTTTTTGAAACGCTGAACACTTTTGCTGCAAATTTTATGTATTAGACAGTTGCATGGTATGGTTACTGTATAACTATGTCTGAGTTGATATTGTTGGTACTGAGTAAAGTAGGAAGATCCAATTCAGAAAGTGCATGGTTACATTTTGGGAAGTGCAGCACATAGGAAGACACTTTCAATGAAATCCCTGTTCCCCGATGCCCTTGATTTCACTGGAATGCAGATTTCACCTGCAGTGCCTAATGAGAAAATTATTATTATTGCTGGTAATCACTTATTTGGATTATCTTCTCTGCATCTAGATAAGCAAAAAAATCACTAAATGGGAGACACCAGCTTTCTGGAGCCTGCGGTTCAGTTAATATTTGGGCTCTTGTCTTTATATTGAGTTCATGCAGACTGTCAGCTGTTCCAAAGTTGGTGTGTGCTGCTTTGTTACATAGTTCTGCACTTTTAAAATAGAAAAAGTCATTAATTGAAGTAGGAAAATATCCTCTCAAAAAAAAAAGAAATATTAAAATCCAAACACTTAAAAAGCTCAAAGATGTCTTCAGCTAGTAATAAACCATAGATTAAAAAGACGGGGCCTTGGGGGTTCTAAATGGCTTTTAAAAATAACTGAAAAATAATTCTTAAAAATATTTTCCTTTTGGAAAGTGAAGTGTATTGTGTGTCTATGTGAAAATTTATTAGTGTGACATTTATACAGGTGTACTTATATTTTCAGTCTTCGTCTGGTGTAGAGAACTCTAGGAAGGAAGCAGTTCTTTTGGCTAAAATGAAACATCCGAATATCGTTGCCTATAAAGAATCATTTGAAGGTAAATATAAAAATTTAAATTCCTTCATTTGTTTCTAGTTGCATGCTCCTCAGGGATCAAGATTACTTTCTTCTTTTTGTTTACAGTACATGTTATAAACAAAATACATATTTATTGTAACATATAACACATAGCATGTAGTCAGAGCTTTATAGTAAAAAGTGTTACTTACAGTAAAAAAAGTACTTATTCTGCTAATGAAACTACTAACTATTCTTAAATTACCTAAAATTTAGCTGATGGACATTTGTATATAGTGATGGAATATTGTGACGATGGAGATCTAATGCAAAAGATTAAACACCGAAGAGGAAATTTGTTCCCTGAAGATATGGTAAGAAAAGACATTGTTTTGAACCAGGGAGCCAGAAATCCTGTTTCGTGTAAACTGAAACATGCTGCATAAACCAAATTATAGATATGCAAACACCGTGAGGTACCTTAAATAAAACAAAGGCACTTACAGATAGAATAGGAAAGTTATTTCTTTTATAATTTCCAGCAAAACAAGGCAAGAATTGATTAAAAAAGGAATTGCTGCCTGTATCTGGGAATTGTGCAGATAGTGGGAAAAACAGTCAGGTTTGTATGCAATTAAATAAGAATTTTACAGAAACTTCAGACAGAATTTAAGGCACAGTAAGATGTACTGCAAATGAAAAGTAAACAAAGCACTCTGGCAAAGATAAATTAAGCTAGCCAAGAGACCATGTAGCAATTAAATGTTTAAAGTATTCAGCAGGCATTAACTCCTTTTATCAGAGAGGCTATAAAATTACTTAGAAGAAAGTTCAAAGGGACATTATAGTGAATGAAAGCTGCTTCTTGCCACAGTTAGAAGCATCACGTTAGTTAAAACGAAAGGACCAGAAATCTTAACTAACTGAATATTTAGATTTTCTATGCGTGTTTGCATCTTTAGGAGTTTTCTTTTGTACTTTAAAAGGAACACATTTTCTTTTAGAAACTGTGTGTTATTTCCCCATGGGTTTTGTTTTTGTTTTGTTGTTTGGTGGGTGGGGTTTTTTATTTGCTAATTTACTATGAAACTGTAATTAACTTGCTTATAAAATGACCGTGAGATAAAATGCCATGTAGCAACTCCCTACCTTCATCATTGTTATGTATTATTACCGCTTTCTAGACACAGTTAATAAACATTTCTTCTGCCATATTAAAATATAATTTATCCTGAACTCAGTCTTTCATGCTGATGTGAGGCCATTATGTTAGAGGTACTTTTAACTCCCAAATATTCGGAACATGCTTTTCTTTTCCTAATTTTTTTTATCTATTAGTATTCATTACATACAGCATTGAGCTGTTATAAGTACTAGTTACTCTTTTTCAGATCCTTCACTGGTTTGTGCAGATGTGCCTGGCGGTGAACCACATTCATGATAAACGTGTGCTGCACAGGGATATAAAATCCAAGGTGAACAGAGCAAGTTTTTTTGCCATTAAAGATCTCTTCTGCATGTAAAAGTTAAACTCCCTCTTTCATAATTTCCTGTGACAGCTAAGTTCTGTGTTTTTTATTTAGGCCTAAGAATATCATGTAAATGAAACTGTTGAGTGCATGGGATGATGTAATATTGCAGGCGTAACCATCATCTAAGTATAGATATATCCTTCATATCCAAACTGCTGATAGCACCAATTGCTTGTGACAGACTGCATATAGTTTAAAACAGTAACAGAAGTATAAAAAAAGTGTATAGATTATGCAGTTTTTAAATGTCTTGCCTCACATTTTTTTCTTTGTTACTGTTACCTATCAGAAAGAGGGAAATTCAGAAGAAAGTGTGACCTTATTGGTTTGAGTACAGCATAGAGATTAAGGCAATTCTAAGCTGTGATTCTTCCTCTGCTAATGATGCTGGGTTAGGCCCATATAAGCTTTCCATTTCCCTGGACATAGTTCTATGTCATGGAATCAAAGAACATGACATAGTTCTTAGCTTTTTTTTTTTTTTTGGTAGAGGTATTAGGAGAAGCAAGTAAAAGGAAATATAAAGATAAAATACTAGAAGTGATTGCCACCATGTTTTCTGCATATACAAACTGCAGAAATGATTCCTAGAAGAATATTTCAGTATGTTAATCTATGCTCTTGAAATGCAGAACATCTTCCTCACTCAAAACGGGAAAGTGAAATTGGGAGATTTTGGATCTGCACGCCTTCTTGCACAGTATGTGGACATCCCCACTGATCTCAGTGGTGTCAAGTTTTATTTTACCATTGACAAATAGTACAGAGTTCTTAAATCATGGCTTTCCACCTGGTGTTTCTTCTTTGTTGTTTCAATAGCCCGATGTCATACGCTTACACATATGTGGGAACTCCTTATTACGTACCTCCAGAAATATGGGAAAGCATGCCATACAACAACAAAAGGTACTTGTGTTTTCAGTGGTCACAAATAATGCCTGACTGATGTAGGGGTTTTTATTGCTGTCTCAATCTGGCTTTGTGGCTTATCTGTATTTGGTTTAGAGAAGATACTGAGCTGAAGTGTTTTTAGAAAGAGGTAATTACAGGTTTTTTAAGATGAAAGTGCAGAAATTCCTCTTTAGTTATGTAACTGAGAGCACAATATCTTTAGTCTTAGAAGTTTGAAAACTGTTGTGCAGACATCTGTTTGTTTGGGAGAGTAAATATATGCATACAAACATACACACAAATACCTACCTATCTGTGCAAATACATAGGTATGTCTTTACATCTTTTGCTGGTCTTTTTTTTTTTTTTTTTTTTTGACTCATCATATTTTTTAAGCTCTTCACGCTGGTTATAATGTAGGGATAATGGCACAAAATGGATTACTTAGATTTATGGAGCCTAGTTTTTCTGGTCCTAATGCAAGAACTTCTGAGAGCATCTTGATAGTACCGTTTTTACAGCTTCTTCCCAGACTCCCAAATACTAAGCCATATTATGTTCCCTCCCCTAGATCTGTTCTGTGACCCTAGTTGTGCAATTGGTTTTCCATAGGAGGGAAGAAACCTTCTAGAATTTCAGGTTTTTTCTGCTCCTCTTGGAAGAAAGATATCAGTCACTTCTTGTGCAGGTGGCAGTACTCACTTTTGATGGAAAATGATGGTTTTTTTCTCAGTGGGAGAGTTCTTATTGGCAGGGCCAGAATTCCAGCTCTCAGAATTAGGATTGTGTGGCTGCCATCTGATGTTAGGGGCTATGGAATACAAAGACTTTAAAGGATGGAAGGATAACTGTTGTTGCAGCAAATTGTTTAAGAGACATCCTAGGAATAAAAAGCCAACTACAACTGTATGACAGTCATCTTTTTTTACATCAGGGTAGGATAAAATAAGCAAAAACATTTCCACTGGAGAGGTTAAATGCATAATTGTGTTGTCTTTTATAGTTACTTACATTTATTTTTAGTTTATTCAATTAAGTTGTTACACAGATTGAATCTCACTTTTTCGAAGCAGGATATTAAATTGTAATTTTTGGCTCAAAATTTTTCATCTTTGTCTATATTTACAGTGATATATGGTCTCTGGGGTGTATTCTATATGAGCTGTGCACTCTAAAACATCCGGTAAGTACAGCTTTATTGCTATCAGAAAAGTTTTGGAATTCCTTAACACTTAATTAGCAGTTAGCTGTACTGTAGATTTGACTGATGTGTTTGCTGCCGCTTCCAAAAGAGGGAAGTATTGCTCCACCCTTCCCAGACCTCCTCCACTATGTGCCTTCTGTTTTTCAGCAGTTCTTGGGACCTACTGGACCCTTCTGTAGAAGACTCAATTTTCAAAATTGTTAGAAAACAATTTTTTTTTCTTGGTTAACTTTCCTCCATATCAGTGATCTGGGACTTATTAAGGAGTCCAGCAATTGCCAGGCAGGTTCCAGATATCTGGAGGGATATTGCAGTGAGCATTGCATTTTACAGGATCAAGATGATCACAGGAGATATAGGCAATGACTCTCAAAATCTTTACTAATGAGAATATATTGTGTGCAAGTACAGTGAAAGGTGGAAAGCAATAAGCAGTTTTGTATCTCGCATCAGTGATATACCTTTGCTTATTCTTCAAATCAAAGAAGTCACTGTCAAAGCACTGTCCTCCTCTTGGAACCGTGGGAGCCTTGATGTATGGTTCTGTCTTTCTGTCATTCCTGGGACACTGTCTTTTACAGTCTTGATGCTGTGTTTCTTATGTGTTAACTTCCTCTGGCTTCTATATACAGACACATGGGTAACAGAAGAGCCCTCATCAGGATATTTTTGTTTGGCAAGAAAATGAGATCCTAATTGAAGGTGATTTTGTCGTAGTTTTTTATAAGCAGCAGTTTCCTTTTGTTGAGGTAATACTATACCTTGAAATCACAGAACCACAGAATATTCTGTTTGGAAGGGACCCACAAGGTTTATCAAAGTCCAGCTCCTGGGCCTGCACAGAACAGCCCCCAGAATGATACCATGTGTCTGAGAGCATTGTTCAAATCCTGCATATCAGCAAAAGATTCTCCACAGCTGCAGCTGCTAGCTGTGCAAGAGTGTATTGACTGAGTGATAAAGGAGTCTGTGCATGGTGTGTTAGCCTAAGTAAGTCTGTGGCAAGGCTTTGGCAGTGTCACAGCTATTCAGGCAGAGCTCGGAGCTGGGGTTCAAAGGAGTGGAGTATTCTTCCCTTTTTAGCAGCATTGAAGTGTTAGGTGTCTGGTTTTGTGTGATGGTCACACATGTTCTTGCATCGTCTATCAGAGGTGATGCCACACACTGTGGATGTTTGGTATTCTGCAGCCAAACCAGCAGAGTGTACCCAAAGAAAACTTCCTGCGTGGAGGTAGAAGTTCTCAAATATTTAGATTTGCAAGAAGGTATTTGTGCCTTTATAGGCTACTTTTGATAATTTTTTTTAAAGTCAGAGTCTGTGTATTTCCTAGCTTGCTGTTTCACTCTTGCAGTTTAAATCTGATGATGAATTTGATTCCTATAAAATAAAATTTGATTAATCCTAAATTTATGGGAGTAACTCTTTCATCTGCTTTCCAGTTGTAAAGATTATTGTTTGCAGCATTCATTATGATCTGGTTTTAGTCACTGTGATGTTTTCATTCTCAGTAAATTTCTGTCATTATTGACATCATTAAATGCCCATGCAACGGCCCTACAAAATGTAGAGGAAAGTTCCTAGTGTTGTTTTTTCACACCTCTGAAACTGTCAAACTGGAAGCCAAATCAGGTGGTAGTAAGGGAGCCTACAAAAATACATACTATGCATTTTTATATAGAAAATATTAAAGCTCTTCTTAAATCATCTCAGCATTTTTTTACCTTATGCTTAAACTCTGCTCTCATGTTCATTTATTTTTAATGCAGTTTCAAGCCAATAGCTGGAAACATCTCATCCTTAAGATATGCAAAGGGTCCTACAATCCACTACCATCTCACTACTCCTATGAACTTCATTACTTAATAAAACAGATGTTTAAGAGAAATCCTCAGGATCGTCCATCAGCCAGTACTATTCTTTCAAGAGGTTGCTTAACCAAACTTATAAAAAATTGTTTGCCTTCTGAGGTATAGTATATTCTTTGTCTCTGTATTTAAGCAATGGTATCTACATTTTAAGTACGAAATCATTTTTTTTGTAGTTTGTTAGTGTATAACTATAAAATGTGTTGTGTAGGTCCTACTCTAAAAGCCATAAATACAGTTGCAGACTTCTCAGAGAGCTGAGTTTTTAAAACGATTTGTTTTGAAAATTAAAGTTGAATATTGACCTGATGCAGCTGAAATTAGGTATTGCAGCTGTTTTGTATAGTGACTATTTTTAAAAAATAATGTAACATAAAAATTGAGGAAGTTAAAAATGGTACAGTACCTCCATCTTTTTATACACATTCCAGATGATAAAAGAGTTTGAGCAGGTATTAAAGGAAACCAAGAAACATGAAGGCAGTGCAGCAAGACGAAAGGGTAAGTGAACAACATTTTTGTTGATGTAAGGAATGACAAAATGACTAGGAAATGTAAGATCTTAAAAATAGCTATAAAACATTAGTACTATATGTTCAAATCTACTTTTAATTATTTCAAAATCTAATGTTATTGAAGCTATATAGAAAATGTTTGAAGGGTGTAAATTATATTCCAACGTAAGTAGAGTGCAAAGCTGCAATATATACATTGTTAGGCATAAGACTTGTGCTAGAAATAATTCAATTTTAAAATAAGCAAAACTTTTATCTGTTGCATGTATTTTAAATATGAGTTCTTTCTTTCCCGAAATATGGTGAAGCAAGTTACGTTCACTATTTAGTTTTTAGAGAGAATGTTGGATTTTTTTCTTCTGCATAAATTAAGCTACACCAAAATTTGTACATGTTTAGAACTGAATAGTAGAGGGACTCCCTGTTGAGAATGAGTTCTGTTGACAGAAGTGTGAGGAAGCTATCACATAATTTTCATTGCTTGGTTCAGTGGCATTGCTGTCATACCTCTGGAGTGCCACTTTACTACAAATGTTTGCTAAAGGTGTTAACTCTTCAATCTCTTACTTAATGTATCAGGTAGTGTCATGGCTGGTGGAAGCTCAAATAATAGGAAAGAAAATAGGGTAAGTATCCAAATATAAATCTAATATTTGTATTTTAGTAATTTAGAATGTTCTACATGATAGAAAAGTTCTTATGGAAAATTATTAGTATACTAAACCATGGATCAGTCTACTGGATCAGCTGTCATCTGTGTTCAAATTGCAGTTTTCCTGTGCATTTTTCACCACTCTAACTTTTTGATTTTTCCCATATTTAGTTTAGTTCCAATGTGCATTTCCTTATAACCCTGTCAAAACAAAAACCCAAACAAAAAAATCCACTCTCGTTTTTCTAAGTTCTTGGATTCTGCAAAAATTTATGCATTTTCATTGCTTCAGGGGAACACTGAGAACAGGCTGCCGTGGAAACAGTCTAGTCTGAACATAATTCTCACCAGGTTTTAGGGCCCATGTGAGATTTGAGGTGAGGAGAATTAAGTTACAGGTAGCCAAGATATTGCCTATGGGCACATTACAGCACAGCCTGACTCAGCTGTACTTGGTATATTTTTAAAAATATGTTGCCATGGGGCTTATTTTTTTTCCTTTTCATAGGCCTGTCAGTCTGAGAAGTTTAATATTTGGGTGCATCTTGTTTTCCCTGGGAATATAAATAATTTATCCTTATATTGCTTCTGTTCTTAAATGTAAAAAAAAAAACCAAAACAAAACACAAATTGCATCAAGTAACTACATGTGTGCTTAGCTTCAAAAACTGAGATGGTCTGTCAAAAAAAGGCATGCAGTGTGAAATGCTGTGCAGTAATAGATACTGTGCAATTGCAACTGGCTTCATAGCGTCAGTGGTTTAGTTTTCAGGTCTTCAGATCTTTAGGCCAGCAATTTTATAGCAAAACTGTTATTTTAATATTACTGCTTGTTTTTTCTCGACAACAAAGGATAATGATTAATGCAGTCTTTATTTTTTTAAAGCGAAGAGAAGATGAAAGTAGCAATCGTAGCCCCTTAGAAAGGAAAAATATTACTGAGGGTTTGAGTGAAGGCACAAAGGAACAAAGGAAGTCTGAGCAAGAGGGTAAGTTTTACAGTTTTAAGGCTGATGCACTTCCTTCTGTGTAGTGATACCTGCATGTCAATGATCCAGCCATTTAAACAGGTAGCACAAACAAGCCTGAAGCTGTAGAAAACCTTTCCACCACCATTTACTTCTGCAGTTGCATTGATTGATACTGCTCCTCAGAGATGTTAAAAAAAATATTTTAAAAATTATCTTGGCCAAATTATTAAAACATTTGTTTGAAAACATTTGGAATAGAGTAAATGCATGGGGAGCTCTTACCAAGTCGGATTTGTACCCATAGAATCAAACATCACTGCTAGTTAAGTGCTGTACTCTTAGTACTGCTTGGCCTGGACAGGGCAATCTGGACAGAGAATCAAGTTAGATGCTTGTTATCGTCCTTTTTTTGTTACAGTTACAATAGAAACGTCTGCTTTCCTTGCAGGAGATATTGATTTGTCACATGTCCACAGGAGGCAATGGGAAAAAAGGATATCCAATACTGTCCTGGATGTCCTGGAAAATGCATCCTTGCTTTCTTCAAGTTTTACACCTGAAGAGACTGAAAGTAAGATTTGATTAAATGTGGTTTTAGTTCAAGTAATATCAGTGATTCTTTATGGATTTTAAAGGCCAAAATTTTACAGGACATGTTTAAAATGATGTAAAATTAATTTTAAAATATTTTATTAACAACTAAAAAGTCCGCTGTGCTGAAGAGAATTTCTTTGTAGTTTTGTGTGACAGGAGAATTGCAAAGAGTGATGAAAACCACAGATAATGCTAGCAACCCTAAAATTGTAATCATGACTAAGAAATTACCCTACAATTCTCCTCTTAATATGATGTTCGTGGAGGTAACAATGAGGAATTCATTTGATGCAGAATGAAACTGCCCATCTTTCAACTACGGGATACTATTGGGAGCATAGAACATCTGTACCTCTACTTCTGTTGTCATTAACATCCAGATAAGGTCAATGACAATAACTATCAATTATGACCTCAACATGTGAGGCATAAATTTTTCTTCCACATCTACAGCTTTTAATTAAAACACTTAACATGAGATTTCTTCTGAAAAATGTTTCAATTTTAAAATGCCCCTCACTTATGCAACTGTTATAATTATTTAATGTGATTATAGATATGTATTGTAAGGAACTGTGAATAAATGCTGTGGAAATAAATAGTCAAAATATAAGTAGTCAGAAAATTCCCCAGCTGTGGAAGGAATGTTGCATGATAATTATATGCACAAGGGAAAAGGACAGAAGAATGCATGTATTTAGGTGTTCTGCTATTAAAAGGCACAAAAATGGCCTCAGGCTCCATTTTGTGAGATTCATAGAGCCACCACATAAGCTTGCAGAGACTCTGACTCCTCACACCCCTCAGCCTGTTTCTGCTAGCTTCCTGTCAGCAAAAAGTTCCACTGTGACCGTTCTGTAACTTGCTGTCCTTTTAATGCTGACAGTGTCAACCTCATTTTTTTGAGAGGTCAGTGGTGCTACAGATGGAAATACCTAGACTCTCTTCTTCCTTTGTTTCTCTCTTGAATGTGATCTTCAGTGTAATCCACACTGCTAATACCATTTTATCTAAGTAGTATTTATGAATATTTTCTACCCAGGTGGTGGTGTTATAAACTACTGTGAAAAAAAGCCACGTAAGCAGTGGGACAAGGAAACCCCTCGGACCCTGATGAACATTCTCACTAATGCAGATGTCAGCCTAGCATTTAAAACCTACACAATTTATAAGCCAGGTAAATCCCCAGTTTGTGGGCAAACATTTATACAAACAGGTTTATTAATAAAGACTTTTCCCTTTTTATTTTTTTTCATACATAGCCCCCATATATAGAGATTGTGCACTCGAATTCATATCACAATAGGTTGGGTGGTTTTTTTTAAGTTTATGAAACGAGACGTGGAATTACAAAAAGCCAGGATTAGAATTCATGAGTGATTGTACATCTCCATTACAGCTCTTTATGAGGGACTTTCACTTGCAGCTCAACAGCTGAATGAAGTTGTGACCAAAATGCAGATGCTGTAGAGCCAAGTGTCCTCCATCCTGCTGAGTGGCCTGGTGTATCTGTTAGGGGGGTGCAATAAACACACTGCAGCCCTATCAGGTAAATCCACTTCCACTAAGTCAGCAATGCCCTGTTTTGAGGGCAGGATGGTAAAATGGTACAGCTAAAGACAGATGCAGCCTATAGATGTGCACAGCCACAGATACTTGTTCTGCATTTAAAACAGGTAACAACTTGACCTGGAATCTACTACAAAGTGGGGACAAATTAGAAAGACTACATAGTATTAATACTTTTAATAGGTTTATTTTTTAAATTAAAATATTTTGGTGACATTTTAATTTTTATATTTTCAAAGCTTCTGAAAATATATTAAGAGGTCCACTTTCTGATGAAACTGAAGCATCTGATGAAGTAGATGGTGAACATGAAGATGTTGTCATAGATTCTGAGAGACTTGAGCCTAGATCTGATGAAGATGACACGTATGTCCAAATGATGTCCTTGTATTTTTGTTTTCTTTGGTTCCTCAAAGTGATTTTCCCAAAACAATGTTCTCCTGAGAAAAAAAGTTTTATTCTCAGCATTAAAATCCACCTCTCTCCTACATAATGAAATTTAGTAGCATTTGCTATCTTACAGGTTTTATTTGCTATATTTATAGTTACTGACGGTCTGAAGATTAAACAGGATGCTTGTTATTAGCAGATACGCTAATAATTTGCTGATGACTTTGAAAAAAATGAAAGCCTGAGCTGAAGTTAGATCCACAGTAAAGTGCAAAACCTTCTTGTATGAAAATCTTTGTACTCTGACCTTGAAATCTGATAACCAGTGGCAAAACCACTTGCCTAGTGGTATGTTTGCTGCATTTGTATATTATTCTTCCTAAATTTTCATGTGTCATGCAATAAAATCTCTTTGGAACCTACTTATAGAGACATATTTATAGAGACCTTTTAAATTCTGTGTTCTGATTATGTTAGTGACCCACTTTGTGTTTTTGAAAGAGCGGAGTGAAAAATCAACACAATTGAACAAAAATACTGTGTTTTACAGGTGTGTGTATGTTTTGGGGGTAGTTCTTGGATTCCCAGAGTTTCAATTTATATCATTGTTTATTTTTGTGGCACTTAGAGATGAACTACTTAGGCATGTATTTCTGTAGTTCAGTTGCAGGCTGTCAATATCAACACATTTTCAGTCTCTTAAGTATATGAATTTGGTTTTGGTTTTGATAAAAATTACTTTAGTAAATTCCAAAGAGAACATCTTTTGGTTCCTTAATCACAACAGTGCAGGAAATATGTCTCTTGCACTGATATTTTTAACATAATTTATCCTAGTTATTGGGTAATTTTTTCACGGGGGGAAAAAAAGGCAAAGATTTATAAAGTTGTATTTTGCTTTGCAAAACAACATTTTGAAATCTATTTTTAGGGACTTTGAGGAAGACGACCCAGACTGGATGTCGGAACTGAAAATGGCATTGAAACACAGTGACTGAAAACTTGAATTTACCTATGATAAGTGGAGTGTGCTGGTCTTTATAATCAAAATAGTTGTTAATAATTGGTTATTAAAATAATTAAAGTCAAATTCCGAGTGGGCATGTTTTCTGTATCGCAAAACTGAGCATGCAAAATGCCAAACAAACCTTTTCAGATAGAACACTTGCAAATAACTAAACAAGTACGGATATTAAAGGTATTTGGAGTTGGTAATAGCTTTGCAGAATTGATCAGTCAAATAATAGCATTGTTCAAATCATCCTCTTGTCATATTTCAAAGAGAAGGTGTAACACTATGAGAAGGTGTAAAGTTATTCTTCCTGACTACATACTGAATTAACAGCTTTGTGTTGAGTTGACCCCAGCTGGATACCAGGTGCCCACCAAGGCTGCTCTGTTACTCTCCTCCTCAGCTGGACAGGGAAGAGAAAATTTAATGAAAGGCTCATGGGTGGAGATAAGGACAGGGAGAGAGGAGATAAGGACAGGGAGAGATCACTCACCGATTAATGTCATGGACAGAACAAACGTGACTTGAGGAAATCAGTTTAATTTATTACCAATCAAATCAGAGCAGAGTAATGAGAAATAAACCCAAATCTTAGAACACCTTCCTCCCACCCCTTCCTTCTTCCCAGACTCAATTTCACTTCAGTAGTCAACGCTGAGCCCAGCAGCTATGGTAGTAGTGCCTCTGCATCAACAGATTAAAGGAGGGGAGAGAGAAGAACGCTGACAGGGACATCAGTGGGTCTGTTGAAGCCAGATGGAATTGGCTCTGTCAGACACGGGGGAAGCTTCTTGCCGAAGGCACTCCTATAACTCCTCTCTGCTGACACACAAACCCAATACATACATAGTAAAAGTGATGTTATCTGAAGGGCCTGTTATGGGAAACAGCTATGCTAAACATTTGAGGCTTTGGTTCATGCAATTAGTCCCCTGAAAAGTCTTGAGACTGAACTTTTGCCTTAGTTCAATGAAAAGAGTTTTTTATATGCCATTGCATGTGTGAAAGGAAGCAAATTTGTTCATAAATAAGGACAAATTTTCCAACTTACACTTCAGAGAGTGCTATGGGCAATGTTGTGTTTGGGCTCTGTGCTGGCTACTGGGTACTAAACACTTTGCAAGGCAAGTGTGGCAGAGAAGAGCACAAACACTCTCAGCAGAGTTCTCCTGGGGCCGTCCCAGAAAATGTCCACATAATAAATAATATCGGAGAATAATACCCAAAGAAAGCTTTAGGACATCGGTAGATTTGGTACGGAGCCAGTTCCTATTGCACCTCCTCTCTTGCTCGTAGGCTGGTACTTGAGTTTCCACCAAGGATTCAACAACTTGATGCAGTCGAGATTTGCTTTCAGGCCACTCCTGTTACTGACCACCCAAATCAAAAGTCTCTTGTAGGCGGAGAGAGCGGTTTGCGTAAGGGAAATAATGATTCCGGTTGCTCCCGAAGGACGCTGCCAACGCCACACCTCCGGCGGGGGCGCGGAGGCGGGGCCGGCTCCTCCCCCTCCCCTCCCGGCCGGGCGGTGAATTTTGGTGAATTCTGGCGGCGGCTGAGCGCACTGAGGTACCGCGACCCCCGCGGCGCCCAAGGCGGCTGCCGAGGCTGGGGCCGGCCGGGCCGGGCTGGGCTGGGCTGGGCCGAGCAGGTCTGTAGGGGAGCGAGGCACCGGCAAGGGCTGTCTGCCGGCGCGTCCCGTCGCCATGGGGACGGCAGGACAGCCGGGGCGGGGAGGGCGGTGCAGAGCGGTGCCCCGGCGGGAATGCTGGCGGCATCCTCTCCCCGCGGCACCCGCGCCGCCTCTGCCCCGGCCCCGAGCAGGGCTGTAGACCACCACCCGTGAGTCCGTGTAAGTCCTGCTGCCCTCCCCTCCCCAGCGCCCCTGCCACGAAGCTGCCCTCCCCGGGCAGCGGGGGGCAGGGGTGTCGCCTGTGGATGCGGGGCTGAGCCTAGCGGGCAGCGCACCCCTGCCCGGGGCAGCTCGGCGCGCCGGGATGAGAGGCTCATCTGTCCCGAGTGGCCCCGTCTCACTTGTGACTGGAAACGGGAGCTGGCTTTTACCCAAACGTCGAAATTATAAATGCCCGAAGGTCACCCTACTTGCACTGCCAGAGTGGTTTTTGGTGACAGCCAGTGATGCAGTCCATGCGGGCTCCCAAGGGAGCCTGTTGCAGAGCTTCCTTGGCCTGCCTGGCAGGCAGTGTCTGGTATCTGAACAAATCTCTCTTGCTGAAACTCAGGTCAAATAGTAAGAACAGTTTTGTAGTGTTTGCTCGTATTTATGTGTGCTTGCTCGTATTTATGTGTGGAAGTATGCTTATGGAACCATTGCAAGGTACCCAGTGACATTGCTGTTCCTGACAGATGTTTGCTAATGTCCAACTGCACTTGGCCATGATCTCCTGCAAAATGCAGTGGCTTTTCACTTCGTTGCTAATATTAGATCACATTAGTATAAACTAAATCAACATGAAATAGATTAAAGCTATTTTTTCCATTAAAATAACAATTCCATAATATTGTTAACTTCAAGAGATAATGAGTCACACTTTCCAAAATTATATCTTAATCTTACATAGTCGTGTCTACTGCATTCTCATGTATTAACTTTAGGGTGTACTTTAGGGGGTAGGATTTTCTTTATAAGACACTCATAAACTTGCTGCTTATTGAAAGTTCAGATCTGCAATAATTTGCATAATTCCAGAGGATGATATTTGTAGGGAGAAGCAGCAGCAGTAATAAAAATGTGATAAAACATAGTAAAAAATGATAAAAATGGCAGTCTTAGAAGGTAGTATCTCTTTCAATAGCACCACCTCAGATGTTGCAGCACTGACTACATACAATACTAATTTGGGCACTTTTTATTTTAGCCACTGTTTTAAGTTGAAGACATCATGGATAATTATGAAATAATTAAAAAAATTGGAGAAGGATCTTTTGGCAAAATATTCTTGGCAAAAGGAAAAATGGATAATGAGCCGTGTGTTATCAAAGAGATCAATTTAACTAAGGTAAAACAAAAAACTGTGATTTATATTTACTGGATTATGCTACTTGCATTTAGCTAGGATATGAACTTGGGTTATTTTTTCTCTCCTTTGTAGTTCCATCTCAATTATATGGAGCTAAACTTTCCAAAGACTGTAGTCTTAGCTAATTTAGTATTTTACAAGCATAAACAAAATATGTATTTCAATATTCTTTACTTTTTACTGCAGTTTTGTTCTTTTCAAAACTTTACCTACTTGTGTAACACTGACTAATGCAAATTTTATGTTTGTTGATTCAACTACAATGAAAATATTGCCACTGAAATAACAAATGATGATTTTGTGATACATTTCTTTAAGCTTTTAATTTCCTTTTTTTCCACGTGCTTATTTTCAGACATAAGTAATTCACAACGGTGCCTTTCCAATTCTCATTTGTGTTTATGGCAGTTTGATTCATCTCATCTAATTTTAAATTTCCATTCTGTTGTTGTCAGCATCTGAGCTGCTTGGCTAGACTCCCTTTCCAGGAGAACAAGAGAAATAGGTACTTGAAGGAAGCTGTTGATTATGTGTGTTTTAGACCTCTGTTTAAGAAAGAGCTGCATCTGGCCATAAAACTGCTCTCTCTCTTCCCGTTGACTGCAGAGGCAGCTTAGGGCCACTTGCTCAGGTATCAGAGGAACACTGCTATATCTAGTTCCAGAAAGGCAATTAAAATCCCTGGGGTTTAACAGTCAATTTCAGTGAGTGCTTACATGCTTTTGACCAGCCTTTTGTTATTCTAGGCCACATTAGTGAATTTTTAATATATTCAGA